AGCAGCCGGCCGGGGGGGGCCCCTGGCTGCCGCGGGAGACGCTGGCTGTGCTCTCTGAACGCAGGTACGAGGCGTAGGCGTTCCCTGTCTGACACGTTTTCAGTTGTCATCTGACATCAAACTAAACTGTTGGCAAACGGAATGATCGTGATGCAAAGGATTTTACCTTCAGAGTTATGCATAAAGTAAATGCATAAAAATGCACAGAAGACAACTTTACCGCTCTTTCTTGGGCTGTTACCATTAATCTTGTTGCTTTTGCAATGTTCACACTAGTTTGTTTGGGTGATAGACGGTCACATTTGAAAATTTCTTAGTGCTGTCTGGCTTCTGTTAGTTTTTATATCAACTGATTTTAACTGGGCCGGCTCTTGTCCTAATAGAAAGCAAAAAGTTAACCATAATACAAATTATTGTTACACTTTTCTATCCAAATTTATTAGCATTGCATTTAAATTACAGTGTATTAAAATAAGTTACTCCCCAGTGAAGCGTGGTGTCCTTCTGACTTTTGCCAATTTTCCTGCACGTTTTCTCCCTGTGCAAACATCAGCGAGCTCAGCTCCTGCAGAAGGCAGCAAGTGCTGTAGGTGTGCTAGGACAAACTGCTGCGACACACCTAGAACAGCTGAGTTCCTTCTGCCTTTTTCTCCCTGTACTTAAGTACTTCTAATCTTTTTCCTCGACAGTTTCAAGAAACTTGCAAGACCTTGTTTCTCTAAGAGACTTAACACCACTCCTTCCAGGATGGTTGCAGTTTTATGTCTGTTTCAAAAATTATTCAAGGCAGAGTGACAGAGCTGGAGCAGCAGTATGACTGCATGCTCTCCTTTTCTGTCAGAAATACTTGGTTTGGAAGCAGTAGTGCAGACCTGGGGCAATGACATGAGGCAGAGGAGTGAGGGTGAAGGAGAACCTGAAAAAACCTACATTGTTCTCCAGCCTCCCTTTGCGAGCCTTGCAATGAGTACCATGAAATGAGGCTTTCTACAATGGTAACCTGTAGCTGTGCTCTGAAATATTTCACTGTGAGTTTTGAAACAAGTGACACAGGTCCTGTGGAATAACATTTTAATCAAACACTACTATTCGCAGTTGAACTGCATGAGAGGAAACAAGACAGCTGTAGAACAGCGTCCTAAATATAAATGCAAGTTGGGTTTTATCATTTTGACAAAGATATGTCTTTGCAGCGAGGTCCTTGCTCTGAGTGAAGGTGTTAGCTCATACTCTCACAGGCTTTTGTTGTAGCCAGCAGTGACTGCCCTCGGCTGTGGCACAGAAGCAGCTCCACCGCAGCGGCCAGTTGTTGGAACCCAGCACCAACGGCTTTCCCCCAGGTCTGTTTTCTGTAGTCAGACATGGGTTTTCTGCAGAAGCCACTGTTACTTTCCACAACATCTGCTACAGAATTGTGGAGTGGCATTTGATGTTGTAAAAAAACAGTTGATATTTTAATAGGTATCAAGTAGGTGTTTTTAAAAACATTATGTTTCATACCCTTTTTCATTCAGCTTTGTCACAACTGCATAAGCATCTAGCAAATGAATTGAAAAGTAAAAGATGAAATAGTGTAATACAGATAAAATTACTGATTCACAGACACAATAGCACACACTAAGTTAAATTCTCAATTTCCAGTTTAGCTAGAAAGGGATCTTGTACAGAAAGGTATTGACAGAGACCTGAATTTTAGGGAAAAACACATATGACTTTAAGAACACATGCACAAATAGAATAACACACACAAAATTACAAAGAGCCCTGAAAAACTGAGGAAAGTAAAGAACTTGCTTGATCATTAATATTTCTGTATTTAGTTATTTGAATGTACTCAGTTTTCAGAAAATAGGTTATGATCCTGTTAAGTTTTAAAATCTGTCTACCTAACTCTTACATTACAAAATAGTTTGTTGTTAATTTATACTTTGGTAAAATAACTTAAATATCTGAAAATAAAAAATTCTTCTTCTTCTTAGGTTATCAGGAAATGGTTACCTTAAAACTATACTAACAGGCAGATTCTCTACATTTACACTGGTATGGCTGAACTTTAAGTCTGACCTCATGTATTTCTATGCGTGTAACTTAACAATTAGAACCAAATATGAATGAAATCATAGTTTTGTAGTACTCGGGCCTTTTATGAGTTCTTGACAGATTTTCGTTTTACAATGTATTGAAATGGACAGACATTCAAATTAACAAAATGAATATACAAATAGAATAGTTTTGGTTTTGTTTTGCAGTGGGATTATGAGATCCAGCCTTAACGCAATCTTGGGATGCACTGGCATTGCAAATATTCCTAAGTGTTCAAGCAAAAGATTTCTTCTACATCAGCTGTATTTACCATCTATGGGCATGTCAGCAAACAGCATATGACTATACGATTTTGCTGTGGGTGAATAGATGTAATAACCCTAAGCATTCTACATTGCTCCTGTTCAAGCCCAGAATTTGGGACCTGTACGTTCCATCTTCGTGGCACTTCTTTGCTCAGATTAGGCACTTTGATGTTCAGTGACAGGATTTGTAGAGCAGAAATATTATTATGGTATAAATTTAAGTTCAAGACTTTTGCAAGATGGTACAAAGTTAGAAGAGATTGGCAAAATGAAAACCAGGTTTCTCAAAATGGCTGTTCCAGCTGTACTTAGTGAGTGAATAAACTTGTAATTTGGAGAGATTTCCACTTTATGCTCAGCACAGAAGCTGGAAGTATCTATGTTAACTAGATAGGGAAACCAATTTTTACTTTGCTTTTACTTCTTTTCATCTACTTCTCTAGATTTCTTTCAGAATGTTTTTTTTCTTCTTAGGCTCTTAGATATTTTGGCTGCAAGGGAGGATGCACATGGGCTCTCTGGAAACATTTTGATAAATGTACCTCTGGTTATGCAGTAGAGGTAAATAACTGCCTTTGCTGTTTATGTCCCCTAAGGGACATATTCTGCATTAAAATGAACTGAGTCATTCCCTGCAGACTTGCACTGAGATGTCAGGTATCAAGCTTACTGTGATAAAATCCCTGTATACTAGTTTCCATATATCATAGAATCATATCAGTATCAATATATGAATATATCTTGAATATATTTCCATATATTGATACATGGATAATTTATGTACATGGAATTCTTGTCCTATCTCCCATCCCCATTATTCCATGGAAAGGATTTGGTTTAGGCTTAAACAACACATCATTTAGGACAGCCTCATTGGGTTAGATATATCTTGAAGTTGTTGCTTATTTGCTTTTTCTTCAAAGTGTCTTTTCTGTTTGAGATTTGGGAGAAGAGTCACAGTATTACCTTGTTCTGTGAGATGTGACCCTAGCCAGCTTTCTCTGTGCTTTGTTTTTAGGATTTAGCCAATCTCTATTTTTACCTGCTTCATTTTCTTCATAATATTTTGTAAATAATACATGTGATTTTTTAATAAAGAGATCCCAAATATTTCTGGAAAGGAAAAAAACCTGAGACTAAGCGGTATTTCCTACAAGTATTTCTTGGGACAATATTTACAATATCATTTTAGCAATCAAACCATCAACAGGATCAAATTTTATTTAGTTACTTGCCAGGAGAAGAATTTATCCTCAAGAAACATCATGTGAGCAATAAATTCTAACCTACTCTTTTGCTCAGATTTTACATAAGCATTTAAAGTCAATGGTAATGTATTTCATAAAAGCTATTTAAACATGGAAAAGGTCATCAGGATTCATACTGACA